ACTGGAAAGTCGCTTATCAAACATCCTTTCAATGCACAAAGAGCAGTAAACTTATCACTTTCAACTTCAAACTGTTACATCGCCGGTTACCAACTAACTGTTTTTAAAAAAAAAAGTTGGACTTAGAGACGATGATAAGTGTTCTTTTGTAATAAGGAAACGGAAAACTTGATACACTTATTTTGGAGATGCGAAAAAACAAAAATTTTTGGGATAGTCTTTTTAAGTGGATGCAGTCTTGCCAACTTTCTTTAGGTGAACATAATTACTTACACATAAATACGGCTTTGGGTCTGAGGCCAGATAGATCTAAACACAAACTCCAAATCAATTTTTGTTGCTTAATTGCCAAGCACCATATCTGGCTTTGTCGCTCAAAAGAACATCCCCCCAACTTAAACAACTTTTTGCTTTATTTGAAACACATTTATCAAATAGAAAACAATGCCTCCACTGTCAAAAATAAATGGGAACCCTTGTTGCCTTATATAAGCCTTTTGACCTGAGTCTCCAACACTTAATTAAATATAAATTTCTTTTCTACATCTCTTTTGTGCTTTGTTTGGTTTTGACTGTGCCCTTTTACCCAAGGAAAAAAAAAAACAAAAACAAAAACAAAAAAAACGAAAGAGTAGGGAAAGAGTAGGGAGAGAAAAAGGAAAAAAGGACCACATGTATCAACTTCGCTATTTGCTTTTAGCCTGCTGCTCTCCTCTCAATTGATGTGATTTTTTTTTTTCTGTCTTTTGTCACTTTTTACTTGTATTTAATTTGCTGTTTGTTAAAATAAATAAATAAATGAATAAATAAAAAAAAATTTAAAAAAAAAAAAAAAAAAAAAAAAAAAAGGATTAAGCTAATGTTTTAAATCTGATCACTATCAGGTAATTTTAAGGTAGCCCTTCTCCGGACATTTTACCATCCCCATCTACAGTGAAACCTGTAATTTGTGGATACCCGCGTGACCTTTGTTGATGTTCCCTGAATACAGGCTCGCTTTGCAGTAAAAATGGGAAGAAAGTCTTCAAACAAAGTGAGCCATTCGTTCACTCAATATAATATAGGGTGTTCGCTTAATGTGGACTTCACTAAAAAGAGGCCCTCTTGCAGACCTCTCAACCCCAAAAGACCAAAAACCTGGAGATCAAGGTTAAAAAACCTGGAGATTTGGGGAGAAACCTGGAGGTTTATCGACGGCATCAAAAAGAACTAAAACCAGGTGTAGGGAAGACATAAAAATGAAATGGATTGCTAAGAATACGTTTAGCAGGATATGAAGCTTTCCATTCTGTTTTGAACTTTCTCTTCACCTGATGAATTTCCTCGTTTCCCACCATTTTGACATTGTGTACGAAACGTATCTAAATGCGACAAACTGGTAACGATAACCTTATCTGGCTTTTGTCTTGTCAACAAGACGATCAAATATGACGAATGGAGATGAATATGCCTGAGAACTGTTGATTTCTACATAATTGACGCATGAAAATCACTTTTTCGAGGCAAAAAATTTAAAAAAGTGTATTCCATCGGCTTGTGAATCTGTTTACCGTGAGATTTTTGTGCCTCATCGTGAGACTATGAGATTGTCCTCAAAACCATGAGACTTGAGAGGTCTGCTCTTGGATGGAGGGAGGCTTGTCCCATGCTCTGACAAATTTATGCATGGCATTGTATTGTTATAAAAATTCTGTACAAAAGTATAAGAATAAAGAACAAAAAATACAATGAGAAATAAACAAAGCCATGCACAAGTTTGTTAGAGTGTTGGACAAGTATGGGGGTGGGAGGGGGGTATGTATTTCCCTAGTCTGTATTTCAAGTATGGTCATTTCCCATTTTGAGGAGTAGGCCAGGTTCCTCTGCCCGGTTGGTATTTACCCATGCTGCAATTTGGTCTAGCCTTATGTTGCTTTTTCAAGGCCATGTTGCTCAAATATGTGTAGTAATAGGCTGCACATTTGTGTGAAGCTCCTCACAGATATTAGGTATTAAACTTATTAACAATTATTCCTTGAGGCTGAATGGGCTCTGAGTCAATAGCCCATGAGGCTGAAGGCCGAATTGGCTATTGACTCAGAGGCCATGAGGGCAAGAGACATAATTGTCTTAGCATAATCTAACTGGTTGGTCAAAGATATCAACACAAAACAACTTGAGCTAGTTAAAGCTAGACTTTAATCTTTGCTGCCAAAAGCCGGCGCTTTTGGTACTAGTGGGCTATAACATATAGCCTAGTAGTAGCCCAACCAATCAGTATGCAGCATAGATAATAGACCACTAATTGGATTTTACTAAAGAATAATATCTGACCCTTTGGGTAAGTTGATTTTGCTACAGTGGTATAGAGGTGTGCTGCTGAAGCCTTTAAAACCCGTATTTTCAATCCTACGCTTGTCTCAATACCGTCGGTGAATTTCAGGATCTTCTCTTTGTTTTTGCGTATACCTGAGATCTGCTGCTTGCTGATTTTAAACTTGAGTACTAAATTTGTTCCTTTTTCACTTTTCTCCAAATGTGAAATAATGGTTTGCTTATCCTTTATCGAAATAACAGACTGCTTTCATTGTATAGACATGGCAGTCATTTGAGTTTATGATCGAACCAATGTGGAATCAAGCATGACATTCCCTTAGCAACATAACAATAAATTATTGAGCATATTAGAATTCAGCTGAATAATAATATTGTTCATCTTGTGCCACTTGCGCTTTTTCAAGGCGAAACAGATTAAAAAAGTGTTTTAAACAGACATTTGGAAGGATTAATGAACTTTAAATTGTTGCAATTTTTCAAGATCACATCTTTAATTAACCCTTTCAACTCTAACATCAAAATTTAAATTCTCATTTGTTGCCCCTATTCATTTCCTACAGAAGTAGAGGGGAGAAGTTGATAAAAATATCAAGCAAATTCATCTTGTGTGATCACGTCTGTAATTCTAGTGCAAGGCTGCTGCCTAAGAAAATTAGAAGAAAAAGTTAGGAGCCCAAGCCACATTTCTAGGAGACCAATTAAAAAAGATCAGTAACTTTATTAACCCTTTGGTGACAGCCATCGAGTAGCGAAAAAACCTCATTTTTCACCAATTCCTCTTTTTTGTAATTTGAAACAAGCTTGCTTTTCCACAGATTGCGACTTTTTCTCAGTTTTTACTTCATGCAGTAGCGACCTAACATTTCTAGCGCTGAAGGAAAAAACTATTCATTTGACACCATTTTCAGACAAGAAACTTCGACTGCTCTGCAGCAGAAGTCACAGAAGCGAATTTTAAGACATAAGTGCTGTTTGTTTACCTTTTATCAGCGGTAATATATTTTTGCCTATGGCCATCAATCAAACAATGTTTTCCTTTGTCATTTCAAAAGTGCAGAATGAGCAGGGAATTTTGTTGTTTGTTCACTGGAAGTTAGCCTGAGAATCATCTGTTTTAGGGGCCTGTTTGGGCTCCCTGTTTGAAATTTTGGTCGCCCGAGGGTAAATCATAGGCGCCTCTGGCAATCAGGCACCCGTTAGGCAGCAGCCTTGCTAGTGACCACTCTGTTTTGCAAGCCATTCATATTACAAAGAGAAACTTGATGCTGATCACTCTTAGGGCTTAAAGGGTAAATATTCATGAAAAACTGGACCAGCAAAACAAGTGTGTATAATTGAAAAGTCTGGATAATCAATTAAGGTTCAAATGTAACTCTGATTAGTTTGGTGTTGCAGACAGAATTAGGTGAACACCTTGCTTTTACAGACACCTTGATAATAAGTACATTTTCTGTTTCCTTTTTACCGATTTTAGGATACCCTTAGTGAGCCATGGCTTATTAAAAATTAAGTTGCCTGTACTTGCTTTGGCTGGCCAGCTTGATAGGCGCATGTTTGTCTACAATTTTATTCAGGGTATTGATTGCCTCCTGTACCTTTTCATTTAGATTCTTTTCTGGGTTGAGGATTTCGTGCCAATCAATCAGTTTTATATCATCTAAGTATAGATCTTTATTAAATTTAGAGTAGTCTCGAAAATATTTTTGTTACTATTATTCCGTGTAGGCTGGGTTCTGACTGAGCAGAAAATCGGAAGATGATCTGTTACATCAACTCTCAGGATTCCTGCTGTGAAATTTTGTAAACAATTTGTACATATATGGCCAATGAGTGTTGCTGTGTGATCAGTAAGCCTCGTAGGTTTAGTAATGATCGGCAAGATGTTATTGGCATAAAGCATATCTAAAAACTCTTCAGTTTGAGTATGTTCATTGAATTTCAGGAAATTTGATTTCATATCTCCAAAGATGTAAATTTCTTGTCTATTGGGATTAATTGTTTTGATTTTATCATTTAGTTGGTTGCGAAACTGTTCTAAAATTACGAGTGAGATGCTTGTAGATACAACCTATTATGATCTTCTTTTTACCTTCACCAGCATCAATTTCTGCCCAGCAGGATTCAACGAGTGTTATGTTAAATTTAATGTCAGGCCTAGGTACAGCTTTAAGATTATCAGCTATATATAAAGCAGCTCCACCTGCGTTTGTTGGCGAGTCCGTGTGAAAAAAATTATAGCCTTTGATATTTACATTACAAATAGACTTCTCACCTAATTTAGTTTCTGTAATTCCAAGTATATCCAGCTTGGAGTCAAGGGAGCATAATAGTTCTTCTAATAGATTAAGGTTTTATATAAACTTCTAATATTACAGGGAAGAATTGAAAAAGATTTTGCGTCTGAATTTACCAGCATTTTATTAAAGCTACGGACTGAATAATATTCTGAGCAGGGTGTATTTTACATTAAATCTGGGTCGCACTCGTCGAATTTATTTGGATTTGGGAGGAGATCGTAAAGGTCAAGATCATGACGCCTATCCGGCCAGCTGCCAACCATAGCATGAAATTCTCTATCAGTTAAATCATAAAATGGTCAACAACTACTTACGTTTTCCTGGTAATCAGCCATTTTTGCCTCCGTAATAATATAAGTTTATAGAAGTCATTAAACTGATAGCTAATTAATTGAGCTCGTCAAGAAACTCTTCGAATTCCCCATGGGTTACGAAACATTTCGTAGTGGAGCTCTCCGTTTTCTTCAGCATTATTTTACCGTTAGCCGTCCAAATAAACTTGTAGTTGTGGTCGCGCTTGAATTGTAAGATTCTGCCCAGTAGTCGTTTTCTGTATAGCCTGCGTAGCATGGCGGCTTTGGTTGGGCGAACTAAGTAATAAAGGCGGGCGAGGGCAGAGAAAGCGCGAGGAGATTGGAGCGGGAGCAACTTGAAAAACCGCCTGCACGGACGGGGGGCTTTTTTGAGTCGGTCCGTACGCCAGCGTACGGATCGTTCCGATTGGTTCGGAATGTTCGCTTGCCAATCAAATATTTTGGTAATCTCCCATGGGAGAGTTTCGAGGGACTGAACAAATCATCTCCGCAAAACAAAATCAAAATATCAAAGAAGCGTTGACCGGAGCGTCGTCGATCTTGAATATTTGACGGGAAAACAGGTCAATTGTATTGAAGCCTAAACAGGAAATAGCCATTTACAGTCTTCTTCAAAGGAGAGATGTCATGGAAATTTTGTCAACAAGATTTGGCAAGAGCATGATCTTTACTGTCTTTGCTATGGCCAAAGAAGAAATATCCTCATCGAAAACCTGTATGATCACAATTTCCCCTCTAAAAAGTACTATCGACGACCAGATATCTGAAATGTTGTCGCTGAGCTGTACAGCAATGGACCTTATGACAGAAACAGTAAAATTCATTGCTTCGAGAAAGTTCACCTCAATTTTCTCTATTACACGGTGTTAGACAATAACGCACTCCAGCGCAATACTACGCACGTTGTCCGCGATTGTGGTCGATGAATCGCATATTGCAGTCTGTGGAACTCCATACTTCTCCATACTTTTTTGCTTGGTGTAGCTTAAGTTTAAGCTACAACTCAAATCTGAAGATCGCGCCATACGTAAAAATACAACATCCTGCAAACAACACTTAAAAAGCCGGGCCCAGCGTCAAAACATTCACGGACAAAGAAACTACAAACCGAGGCTCCTTGGTTTGTAGTTGTCCAGATCCAGGCATTTTAGTCGGAAAAGACCAAAGAAACTAAAATATTTATTTAGCCGTAATAAAAAGCTTTAGGGTTTAAGAGTGGTCAAAGAAATTAGTACTTTACAACTGCATCTGAGATCAACAAATTCTAATTAGCAACACTAACAATAACCACAGGAAATAATTACTCAATACGGATTAAACAAACCAACTTCATGACCTATAAATAAATGTAAGACTTAGTGCAGCAAAAATAAGATCTACTCAGTCAAGTTTAGAGCGCAGTGTAGTCACCTATGCGCGAGATAGCCACAAAAAAAAAACCTGTGTTTGTTCAAGCAAACTCCAATTCCGGCCAAGGTCACGTTTTACACAAAATCACGAGCTTTTGTGTCGTGTTTAGGCTGTCAACACTTTATTTCTGATTGGCTGGGAAAACTGAAACCAAACAAGTTGTCAACAGGATGTCAAAATGAGTTGAAGGGGGCGGCAGTTGAAAAGGCCACGAATCCGAACAGGCGGTTTTATTTTTTTCTCGCGGCTTCGCCGCTCGTTCTCGCGCGCTTCGCGCGCGAATTTTTCGTGGCTACGCCGCTCCTGCGCCCGGCTCGACAAAACCGCCATACTACGCAGGCTATTTTCTGTATGGCGTTAAGCTTTCACTGACATGAATTTGTGCTGTATGACTTACAACCGCAGATTCCGGCTCGCAGACCATAGACGGGAGATCTTTCGTCCGCTTAGATTTTAAGTTTTTCCTCTTGCTGTAAATTTCGGCTCTTTTCTCTCTACGAGTGAACTTGACAATTAGTCGGTCTTTCACTTTCTTCGTTGGTGGTGAACAATGAGCGATCGATATATCGTTTTCGTTGAGGTTCACTCCCATAATCTCAGACATTTCCTTCACCAGCAAAGCAGGGCTGTCATTAGGTACGATCGGAATACCGGTTATTTCGAGACAGTCTCTTCGCGCGTACTGCTCGAGTTCATCCAAGTTGACCTCGACATTAAAACCATCTTTGCCGAGCTTGTTTATGTCTTCCTTGATACCTTTAATTTGGCTTTTCACGCCTTCGTTGTGTTCTTTTACGTGACTGCCCTTTTGTGTCCTAAATACGAAGAAAAACGCGTTGCCGATTATGAGTCTCGCTGCTTGCGCAAGCGAGACTAATAATTTCTCTTGTTTTAAGGAAGTGTTTTCTCTTTTCAGCAACAAACTGCAGAATGGGTGAAAGCTTTCCGTGACACCAACATCCCTGTTCGAATGACTTCTCGGTGACCGGAGACTTTGGGAGACCCTGTGAAGATAAGGGACTGGAACAAGCTGGGCTACCAACTGACAGTTTCTCTATTCAGAATGGTATCATTATCAGGTAATTATTAAAACCTGAATCATTGAATAATGCAATTCTGGAGCTCTGATTGGCTTAGCCATTATGGTATATGAGCCATTATGCCATGCTCTCCAAATATGGTAACCATACGCGTCTGCTCAAAATTAAAAACAAACTGATAATCGGTTGTTTTTACAAATAAAGTCGGAAAGAATTCTCGATATTTTGTGGGCGTTTTTCATAAACCAATTATTCCACTGGCGCTTGTTTGGATATGAAATGATTACAGCCAACGTGCACTCGTGGAATAATTGTTAATTAGAGGTGTCCGGTCAGAGCGAACCGCCTGTATATAGGTTTCGTCCTTACTGTTTTAATCATAACAGGCCAGAGGCCCGATTTTAGTGCGCGCAGGAGGAGGCCTAATCTCCACAGCAACCACCGCAAATCGGTTTCCAATAACAGACAAGGTAATTAGTTTTAAGCATTCCTCCAGACACCTTTGGAGAGCGCCGGACACATTGCCTGTCAAGGAACTTTGTACTTCTGATTAAAAGAACCAGACATCTCAAGGAAACGCGAAATTTGATCAGACTATTTGGGTATTATAAATTCATTTCACGGTCGATTGAAAATTTGGAAGTCGATCTTCGCGCCTCTGGCTTCGCAACTGATAACTACAGTTTTCTCGCCGCATTTGGATTCAAATAGGCTTGATACGCTTTCGATGGTTTTTCAAGTGTTTTCTTTTAAGAAAATAGTGCTCCGATGGCTTATTTAACTTCTGTCAAGAGTAGTATGCCGTGTCAACATTGGTGACCTTCGAAGCGAAAACAGCGAGTCGGCGTATCAAGTTTTTACTGTGGAGCCACAAGTAGGAATACTCTCTCTGCTGACACATCTTTCTCCGGTTTGGAAGGAACTCGGCGTGGAAAAGACCCTGACCAAGGAAATTTTTAAATCTTCTCTATTTGAACGTTTGAGAAAAGCCGTCAACGGTGCGCATTTTATAGTCGCCGGAGAAAAGGAATACGAGAGCTCGAGCTCTACTTCACATCTCCTTGAGGAACAGCAAGACCGATTATCTGATTCAATGGACGACCTTTTTGATCAAACGGCGAAGGATTTAATTCTTTTTTTCTCTGGCTGAAGACGATGTAAGCGTCGATGTGCCTCCAGTGACAAATCACTCTCCAAATAGCCCGCCAAGCACTGTCGAAATCCCGCCAAAATCTTATTCGCTGGAAGGAGCCCAAGACGCTGGATTACTTCAGATACTCTAGCTTCCACTTCAACATCTTCGTGTTCGCTTCGGCGATCTGTATAATCAAGGTCACAGATACAGTATGGCTTCTATATCAATCATTTTAGCCTCCTTGAAATGTCAATCATAATCCAAAAATTATTATTTCAGGTTACCTTTGTATTGTTACTTGCTTTTTACTTAATAGGGCAAATTATAGGGCTGCCCTCTCCCTCAGAGCTTACAGGCGGCGCGCCCAAGATTCTGAGGTGAAGGTAGTCTCTCTTTTGAAATGTCGGTCATAATCCAAACAATTTTTGTAGGTGATTTTTGTAGTGTCATAGGCCAAATTATAGGGCTACCCTCTCCCTCAGAGCTTACAGGCGGCGCGCCCAAGATTCAGAGGTGAAGGTAGTCTTTCTTTCAAAATGTTGGTCATAATACTAATTATTTTTGTAGGTTGTTTTTGTATTGTCATTTGTTTTTTAAATAGGCCAAATTATGGGGCTACCCTCTCCCTCAGAGCTTACAGGCGGCGCGCCCAAGATTCTGAGGTGATGGTAGTCTCTCTTTTGAAATGTCGGTCATTATCCAAATTATTATTGTAGGTCATCTTTGTTTTGTCATTTGTTTTGAAATAGGCCAAATTATGGGGCTACCCTCTCCCTCAGAGCTTACAGGCGGCGCGCCCAAGTTTCTGAGGTGATGGTAGTCTCTCTTTTGAAATGTCGGTCATTTATCCAAATTATTATTGTAGGTTATTTTTGTAGTTTCATTTGCTTTTGAAATGGGCGAAATTAATTATGGGGCTACCCTCTCCCTCAGAGCTTACAGGCGGCGCGCCCAAGATTCTGAGGTGATGGTAGTCTCTCTTTTGAAATGTCGGTCATTTATCCAAATTGTTATTGTAGGTTATTTTTGTATTGTCATTTGTTTTTTAAATAGACCAAATTATGGGGCTACCCTCTCCCTCAGAGCTTACAGGCGGCGCGCCCAAGATTCTGAGGTGATGGTAGTCTCTCTTTTGAAATGTCGGTCATTTCTCCAAATTATTATTGTAGGTTATTTTTGTATTGTCATTTGTTTCTGAAATAGGCCAAATTATGGGGCTACCCTCTCCCTCAGAGCTTACAGGCGGCGCGCCCAAGTTTCTGAGGTGAAGGTAGTCTCGCTTTTAAAATGTCGATCATTTATCCAAATCATTATTGTAGGTTATTTTTGTATTGTCATTTGTTTCTGAAATAGGCCAAATTATGGGGCTACCCTCTCCCTCAGAGCTTACAGGCGGCGCGCCCAAGATTCTGAGGTGATGGTAGTCTCTCTTTTGAAATTATAATTGTAGGTTATTTTTGTAGTGTCATTTGTTTTTGAAATAGGCCAAATTATGGGACTTCCCTCTCCCTCAGAGCTTACAGGCGGCGCGCCCAAGTTTCTGAGGTGAAGGTTGTCTCTCTTTTAAACTGTCAGTCGTCAACAATAGTATTATTGAATTTTCATTTTCCAGAGTTCATAGTGGTACCTTCTTTATAGTTTTACGTGACTTGTGGCAAAGACAAGACCAGGCTAACAAATTTATTCTACTTTATGCGTGGTGCGACAATCACCGTGGCTGACTGGCCTCCAAAGTTCCTTTATAATTTGGACGCTTCTCAGGAGTTCCTTCACTGCTTGTAATCCAGAAATTGCGATTCTCAGCAGCTTGAAGCTCTTGCATTGCATCAGTTGTTCCTTGGACGGCGACCTTTTCTTGTCCCGAGTACAATATCGATTCTCGATTCTCGACTCTCGATTACCGTATCTTACTAGTGCAAGGTTTCGGCAACGGGACCAGTACTAAAACCATTGCAGGAAAACTGTTTGGTAGAAGAAGAGTAAAATGGTGGCTTCGGTGCGTTACCTGTCTGATGCTCGGTATTTCACTGCCAAACTGCGCAACAGAATGCACGAAAAACCCCTCCGGTACTTGAAAAAAAAGAAAAAGAACCTGAGCGATGTAATTTAGTAACTTATTCATGGTGTTCAGCTTCCGGTTTATTCAGCTTATTGCCAGTTGTAGGCAAAGTTCACGCGCGCACATTATCGCATTCTAACTGGGTCGATTGTGAGGAAACTGTTATGTCAGTCATTGACTAAAAACTCCCGCGCGTCAAGCCTTTGTGCGACGGACGTCCCTTAGAAATATAAATTGCCCCCACCGATCACCAATTCTACTTGCAAAGTGTTGCTGATTGAGTTGAGTAATGTATTCTAGAGTGTAAAATTAGTACTAACCTCGCAGACAAGGATGCAATGAGACATTTATTTTGCGTAGTGAGGCCTGCTATCCATTGGGCAACCATCCCTTTTATTTTCTTTCAATAGCCTGTCCATGCACTGATCTTTGGGTACAGAAACTAGCTGCCTCTCGCTGTACCAAAACTTGATAGTTTTGGCGTTCAATATTTTTAACGGGTGCTAACAAAACACCAGGACTGCATCGTGCGCGCTTTGGTATCCTGCGAGCTATGGTTCATCGCGTTTTGAAAGATGGAAATTTTGATATTCCCGCGAAAAAGAAGACCGATAAAACGCGTCTTTCATTGACTACAGTGAAACGCCCGGAAATGAAGGATGTTTTGAAAGAAACGGGAAAACTGATAAAAGTATATATTTGTTTTGATGAGTGAAATTAATGAGAAATAACCATAAACTAGTTTTGTGTTTTTGTTTTTTAAAAGCGGTTTGTCTGGTACCAGATTTGTACAATTATTTTCAATCAAACATGGATCGGGTTTTGTTAATTATGACAGAATGTAATTAAAAAGCATTATGTTGACAGCTACAAGGCACATGCTTGCCTTAAGCTGCGAGTATCCCGCCATGTTTTAAACAAAGGGCCTCTGACCAAGCCGGCATTCTAATCCGCCACAAATATGTGAAGCACGCGTCTTTCAAAGTCGCCTAGTACTTAAAATCGGAGCTCTGGCCTGTTATGTGCGCTGGTGCATGTTTTTGCGTTACAGGACGTCCAGTTTGCCCCTCTGAGCCACCTCACGAGAGAATGCAACTACAGAGGCCGTGTAACGTGATGGACGAACCCTGTTGACAATCCAGGATAAGTTCTACTGCGCGGCCATCATAGACAATAAAGACTACAAGTTTTCGCCAGAAGGCAGCTACTTTGCTCCTAAAGAAGGCGACTACGCATCGTACATCGAGTACGGACGCAGCCTTGCGCATCCTGAGGTATTTGGAATGCACGCCAAATTCAGACATCAGTAAGAACCAACAGGAAACCCAACAGTTCTTCAACAGCATCCTTTTGACGCAGTCTCGAGCTTGCGCCAACTTCGGGGTGGCTGAGGATATTTTACACAAGAACTTTCACCCGGAAGCGACACTGCGGAAATACTCCACCACCTATATGCAGAGTATGAACACGGTATTGGTGCAGGAAATGGTCAGGTTTAACAGGCTAAAGAGAAGTCCTGCGATCTTCGCTTATGAACATACAGAAAGCTGTTAAGGTGAGTGAACCTTCAGATAAATAGC